AGGACAATGGCACTGGGTTTTGATTCTACTGCACGGACTGGCTTTGTGGGAGACCGGTTTGCTTGGATTCTCACCTTCCTAGACCTGGATGGAGGGGGGAAGACCTTGGACTTCCCACAGGGCAGGGAACCCTGACTGCTCTTAGGACTGGAGAGGGAGGGAGAGGGAGAGTGGGGGAAGGGGGAGGAAAATGGGAGATGGGGAGGGAAATGGGAGGTAGGGAGGAGGTGGAAATTTTTAATAAATAAAAAAAGAGCGGCACAAGTTGTACAAATCTTGTTGCTTTCGTTTGCTGTCCTAAAAACACAACAAGATTCTTTTCACCTTAAAAACTTTAGTTTAAATTATTCAATTAGGTAAAAACTATCTCTGCATTTTTCACGACCACGGAGCCAGTTAACCATCTTTTAAAGTTTCATTTTTCCTTCTCCCACCTCCCAGAAAGCACTGTGCCAGGCAGAGATGACAAATGTCCCTTGCCCACAGAATTTACAGAATGACAGTCCTGCCTTTGCAAAGCTGAAGGGATCTGTATGATTTAATGGAAGTATCAAGTAAAAATAACTTCAGTCACCCCGAGAGAAGCAAAAATTGAAATCTCCGAGCAGATGCGACACTGATAAGCTGTGGCATTTAATACAGAATACTTAAGAGTGAGTCCTCCGAGAAAAGGGCTGCTGTGCTCTCAGAGCACAATGAACGTGGAGCCTTAGCAGAAGGAAACATTCAACTGCTGGCAGATTTCTGCCCATTTACGTCATGGTTTTATGGTGTATTGGAGGAGGAAAGTAGGATGCCGGGAACCTAAGAAAAGACTGGAAACGTAGGTGAGACTGTGAAGATGGATCATTTATATTATGCAAATGATTTATGTTCTTAAAGGGATGGGGACTCTTTGAAGCTTTGGTTTTTATGTTTTAACTTCTAGACCAACTATTCATAAAACAGGAGGAGCATCAGCAATTGTAGGAAATATTACATAAACAATGGACCTTTCTTGCATTGCCTCTTGTAATTAAGTTCTTATAAAAACTACGCTGCCGCATCTAATAAAGATAGTGACGCAGTGAAGATCAAGAGTTACCTCCCCTGGGATCTGTGTTGACCCTTTCAGTCACAAATACTCACTGCTAGAAAGTAGCAGTCCAGCAAGTATTTGTATATTTACATGTTTTCCAGCTTTGGGTTAATATCATCAGCTGAGGGAATTTTTATTCAGTGTGTAACTTTTCACTTACATAAGCATACAACTTGTAAATACAGATTTTTGTCATCCCTTTCTGATATTTATTCCCTGTATTTCTTCATATTTCTGTACTCAACTACTATAAATTCAATAATTATGTCAACTAGAACCATGAAAATTATCATCCTTGCTTTGTCCAAAACTATGGGGAAAATCTTCCAATCTATCTCTTTCTCTCTCTCTCTCTCTCTCTCTCTCTCTCTCTCTCTCTCTCTCTCTCTCTCTCTTGTAAAGAGAAAAAGAAAGAAAAGCAGTTAAAAATAACTGATGGAAAAGATCTCTGACCAGCTGACTTGTATGAGAGTCATACAAGGAACTGAAAGGCAGTGGTTTTTAACTTGTCAACCATGTTGGGATGGGCATTTTTGTGATGCACCTGCCTTTGGATAGCCTTTGATCATACTATTAACTTCTCACACATAATCTGGTTAGTAACTTTAATGAATGCATTGGTTCACACATACACTACATACACACACACATACACAACTCAAAATATTTTGCATGAAAAAGTGGCAAAGAAAAAATCACATGAGGCAAAATAAATTGCACAAGTAGTGAAGGGGAAAATAAATAAGAATGAAGAAAGATATTGGTTGTGATGGTTGCAGGCTGCTGAGAAGGATGACGAAACCAGAATGGCAAAGGTCTTTGACCTTGTCACTTATGAAGTCAACAGTGACTCTGATGACAGAAGCTTCCATGAAGTGTCACAGACTGAAACCAGAGTACAGTAAGATGAAGCCTGGGTGAAGGAGCATGAAGCTGAGGTGGTTTGGAGAGGACCATTTCTCAGAGTCTAGCTTGTACAGAAGAAAAGGAAGATCCAAGAGTTAGAAGTAGTACAAGCCAAAAGAGGTTTTATTTTGAGGTCAGAAAAAAATGGGACCTTATAAGAAAGGAGTAGAAAAATTCAGAGTTTACAAGAATCATTTTAAATATTTCTTGTCAGTCATACAACAGAAGTTTATCTATCCTCTGTCCTGTTTTTGAAAACATCACTCGAAGATAAACAGGCAAGCACTCTTGACAGAGTTAGCACATGTTGTAAATAAATAAGAAAAGTAATGGAAAGCCAATAGAAAAATCAGATCTACTTATTCTAAGTATTTCAAGTCTGAGGTCAGCTTGAAAGTCACGAAAACTTAATGAATTCTGCTTTGTCACATTTGAATAGGCAATGTCACATTTCATTGTAAACATTGCTGTTAGGATTTATTTTGTTTTCTTCAAGAGGAATGATGATCTTGATTAAAAAAAAACTTTTTAAATATTTCAAGGACTTTAGTATGGAGCAGATGTGTCAAGATTATTTCATGTGTTATATTACAAACATCGGAATGTCTCTCAAGTCTGCAGGATATGAAAACACTTGTAAGGAAAGTGAAACAGTGTGAGATGTCTTAACACTTCTCTCAAAGTCTATTTTATTTTTTCAGAGATAGTAAACTAACCAAGCAAAAATGATGAGAGTCTTAAAATAATGCGGTGTGCAGGAGAATTTCATGAGAGTAGAGAATGGCCTCACATGTTTGTTTATTTGTTTCACAATTGTTGAATGGGCCGTTCTTAAAGTAACAAAATATCTAGACTAGACAATCTGATACCTTTCTCTACATGCCCAATTTTTCAGTTGGATATTCTTCATCTCATAGTGAGAGATGGACGGCATGGAAGGCAGCCTCAGAAACTGTCCATTCTACTACAATGTCAGATATTTAAATTTATGTCTGATTATTCCTAAAATATATGTCCCCTCAGTGTATCATGAGGACTTAACACTATATATGTAGTACTATAAAAATGCAGTAACTCTTCAAACGTCAAAAGATGCTTTTAAGATATGCAAAAAAATAAGCATGTTGTTTGAAAGAACTGCTTGCAAACCCTCCGTTTCTTTTCTGGATGTTAATTAATTATTTTGTCTCTCTATGTGAACTGGAAAAAAAATTCAAATGTGGAAAAGTAAGATTGTGCCACCTCATACAGGGAATACTTTGGAAGTAATGCATCAATGGCTCGCTCCAGTGATAGGAGATTATGTGGGAAGCTTTGAGGCAAAAGCTATACACAACTAATGATCTTCCTATTTCATCTCTATCGTAAGTTTTGAAAGCATTCTAATGTATTTTTTTTTACTTTTTACTTATGTGGGGGGAGGGTGGGAGGAAAGAATATTCAAGTGGATTTGTACAGTGCAGGTACCCATAGAGACCAGAGGGTCTGAGAAATACCGTAGAACTGGAGTTATAAGCTGTAGAGACCTGCCTGCCGTGGTTGCTGGGAGAGCAAATTCCACTTTTCTGCAAGAGCATTAAAGTTTCTTGACTGCTGAGTCATTTCTGTAGGCCCACTTACTTCATTATGCTTCCATTTAAATAGGAGAATGTAAAGACTTCTATATTTTTCATCTTGCTAGATTGTCCCAAAAAACCAAGTATCATATTAAATGATAATTTAGGGAAAATTCATGTTTGTCATCACACCCAGATGTTTAAAAAATACTAAAAACTACAAATTTGTTTAATTGATTTTCTTGAGTTATACATTTTTCTCTGCTCCCCTCCTTCCTCTTCCCTTTCCCTCTACCCTCTCCCCTGGTCCTCATGATCCCAATTTACTCAGGAGATTTGTTTTTTTTTTTTTTTACTTCCCATGTAGATTAGATCGATGTAAGTCTCTTTTAGTGTCTGCATTGTTGTCTGAGTTCTCTGGGATTGTGGTTTGTAGGCTGGTTTTCTTTGCTTTATGTCAAAAAGCCACTTATGATCATTGTATGATCAAAGTACATATGATCACTGTCTTTCTGGGTCTGGGTTACCTCACTCAATATGATGTTTTCTAAATCCATCCATTTGCCTGCAAACCCCAAGATGTCATTATTTTTTTTCCTGCTGTGTGGTACTCCATACATTTACACAAGAGCCATCTTCTAATCCAGTGGTTTTCAACATCCTAACACTGTGAGCCTGTAATAGAGTTTCTCACATTTTTGTGGTGACCCCCAACCATGAATCGCTGCTACTTCATAACTGTAATTTTGCTACTGTTATGAATTACAGTGTAAATGTCTGTGTTTTCCAATCCTTTTTAGAGGTCGTGACCCATAGGTTGAGAACAACTGTAAAACTGGGTTTGTTGATATGTCTTCATGTAAGCTGCTAGTAGGGTTACAGAAAACAGACACACAAGAGCATTCTCTAATACACATATAGAAACCTTATTTCTGGGTGACATTTATTAATATATCAGAGTCTTTAAGTGGTCAACCATTCAGCTTTTCACCTAGTAGTTCCAGGTTTCTGTCTCTTTTTATATTCATAGCTGTATTAGAAGCCATGGAAAACATTTATTTAAAATAAGAGAAATAGTTTTGTAAATCCACTGATTCTGCAAAATAACAAAACGTGAATCTCTGTTGACTGTTTTATAATAATGCTTTTTAGGATTCTAAAATCCATATCCCTGTGATATCACCACTTAGAAATCTCCTGGGACAGATTTAAGGCTTGTTATTTTATGTTCTCAAGAATTTTATTTTTCCTGACCTGTTTCTTCAACACAATTAAGACAGTTAACAGTTATTTCTCTTATATCTTTTTCTATTTGAAATAACTTTTAAAACGAAAGAAGCTGTAAAAATATTTCCTGCTACCATGCAAACTTCACTATTGCGACCCAAGACTACCCATCAAGAACTGGACCCCACTAAGTTAAAGAACCTCCATACAGAGTTTCACTTCTATTTTGTTACCTCGTACAAAACCGTTGTGTTTCCATGGAGAAGAGGCCCATAGCAAATATAGGAATGTCCAACAACCCACCCTAAATAAAAAGCTGCCCCCCACACCAAAAAAAAAAAAAAAAAAAAAAAAAAAAAGGATAATCAATTGCATGTCTTTATCAGAGAAATGCCAGGTGGCCGAGTGTGTAAAATCCTGATTACCTCTCCAGGCTTCAGGCCATATATGGAAGACATTGTCCAGTTCAGCATTACAGCATATCCTCCAGTGGGTCGAACCACACCCTGAAAGAGATGGGAAAAATCAAGTTAACATTTACACATGCTAAAAGATTCACTGTCTTCACTCTACTATAAAATTTACAGATTTCGATCATTCACTATTCTGTAAACAGCAAATTACAATGACTCATACATATGTAGTCTTACATATAATGGTATTTGACGTTTCATTTCTTTGAATTCTTTAACAGAAAACACAGAGAGTTTGTGTTCATGGGTTCCATTTATAGAAAACCATTGTTATATACTTTCCTTAACAGTATACGAAAACATACAACTTCATGAAGTAATATACAATGCAATTTTTGTTTGTTTGTTTTTTTTCAAGGCAGGGTTTCACTGAAACTTTGGAGTCTGTCTTGAAACTAGCTCTTGTAGACCAGGCTGGCCTCGAACTCACAGAGATACCCTTGCCTCTGCCTCCCGAGTGCTGGGATTGAAGGTGTGCGCCACCACTGCCGGACTACAATGCAATTTTAATGGTAGTACAGAGTATCAATATTGCAGCTTCAAATGCATTAACAGAACAAAAATGAGAGTACCCAAATTAAATTTTACAAAAAGTTAAATGAAGTTGGCCTAATATAGAGAATCCAAAAGAACACTATTCCTAAGGGTGATAACAACAGGCTGCTTAGAAGAAACAAAGTTGTGCTCTAATTAAGGCCTGATTACACTGCTAACTGGGAATCACATAGCACGATATGGGAACTGAACAATTCTTTAATGATGATTTCCAGAAGTCTGAACAATGAATCCTGATGAGTTAGCCTTCAGGCTAACAGATGTGTTTTATGTTGCATTTGGGGCAAATCAAGGCGCTACTACATCATTAGGCATAGATTACACAAATCTGTTTCCAGTACCTTCCCGTTACTCTGGAAACTTATCCAAACTCAATAGAAAATTAATATTTGAACACTGGGCGTGTGAGTCACCAAGATAAGAGCGGGTGATAAATACAATAATTAGGTCTATTTATTACACCAGTATCAATATCAGTGGTCATTAGTGCCAATAAGACATGGCTTTTGAACGGGGCCATCAAATGCCTACTGAGTAATAACAGTAATATGAGATTCGCACGCTCTTTGCAGCCTCTCGGGGCACACCATTAGAACTGTTCTCTTCGAAACAGTATTCTACTCAGAAGGGCAAGCATGCCCTAATTAACGGGTGTTCTCTTAGCTGCTTATGTTTGTACCACCCTGTAGTTTTATCACAAGTGCATGATCCAGGAGAATGGGGGTGGGGGCGAAGCACTGACTTTGCAATAGCTGCTCCCACGGCTGCTCTCCTCGGATTCCTCTAATAAAACATAAGCATCAAACTGGAGAACATATTGCATCCTGCACCAACACCTGGTCTCTTCGCCAGCATCAGGAGCAACTTTATTGGCACATGTGAGCTATTTTCTATGTTCTGTGATACGGTTAACATGAAGTGGCTCTCTTGTTCACCTTAGAAATCTTAGCTATGGTAAGCCTCTTTCCAGCAAGCTTTCTCTGCACACCTACTCACCAAATCCAAATACTCTAGCTGAACTCCATCCTATCTTCCTTTGCTAATTAAAACGTGTTTCCATCTGATCCAGGAACTCATTGTATTCAGTATTAATAGTTTTTCAAACACTGTTTCCTAAAAATCTTTCAGTCTTTGGGAAAGCAAACACCTATACAGTTTCTTTCAGATCCTGTGTGTTTTCATATATTATAGCAGAGAGCATTATTTCAGTCGGCAGCGACTTCAGTTCTGATGTGTTAGAGGTCTCTTGTCACTGCACCTCTTGCAGCATTTTATTTACTAGGAAAGAAATGCTTTATGAGAGCAGCGTTGGTACTCTGTGATTCTTGAACACAGAAGGTTCATAAAATGTCTTTTATTTTTCTTCTTCCTTTATCTGAAGAAGCATCAATGTGTGGAACCCAGTACTTTGCCTGATAGTCTTCGAAGTCTTTTTTATTTTATTGAATTCCATGAAGACAGTTTATTTAGATCATGTCTTTCCCCATCTCCTCCCAGATGCTTGCCACCCACTCACCCACCCAATTTTTGTTTTCTCTCTCATTCTCCCATCCAGAGAGTTCATAAAAAAAAAAACAAGAAAGACAAGAAAAACGCACATGACAACAAAAATCAAAGCAAAGAAGGAAAAAGACTAACAGAATTTAAAAAACAGTCAAAACAAAGAAAAGTGAATCAAAACGTCAACAAAATTAAATTGGGTTCATTTTGTGTTGCTCAACCTCATGTAGGCATGGGCCCTGTTCTGGAGTGTGGTTGGTAATACCCAGGGAGACTTATTGGAGAAAACGTATTTTCATTTGTCAGTAGGTATCGATTGCAAATAGCTTATTGTGTGACCCTGTGTCCATTCCCCCTCTCAGTGCTGGGACCCTGTTCAGCTTGATCCTTCCCAGGTCCTATGTATACTGACACAGTCTCTGTGCGTTCATATGTGTAGCAGTCCTGCTGTCTCTGAAAGATGCTGTTTACTTGGAGTTAGCCACTAACTCAGGCTCTCACGGTCTTTCCATCTCCTCTTTAGCATAGATCATCCATCTTTGAAAGAAGGAATTTGATGAAGCTATCCTATTTAGGATGAAGTAATCCAAATTTCTTCACTCTCTGCACATGGTCCAGTTGGGGGCCTCTGTGTTAATTGCCACCTAGTGCAAGAAGAAGCTCCTCTGATGTGGGTTGAGAGAGCACTGTTTTATGATATAGCAGAATGCCATTAGTAAACATTTTGTTTTATTGCTACATTCCTTTAGCAGAATAACAGTATTGGTCTTTTTCCTGGGTTCATGATATATCTAGTCCCAAGTTCTTAGCCACGTTAGCAGTGCCAGTTATGGGATCCACCTTGTGGAATAGACTTTAACTCCGAACAGAAAACTGGCTGCTTACTCCCCAAACCTTTATTCTGTATTGTATCCGTAAAACCTTCAGTTAGATCACTGCTATAGGTCACAGAGTTTATAGTTGTTGATACTGATGATTTCCTTTTTCCTGTGGTAGCATTCAGAGTACCTTCGGCATCATTCACACTAGTCAGTAGGTGTGACGTGTTGAGGAATATTATTTTCCGGTGTGTGACTTTTGTTTGTGCTGCATGTGTTTAATTCTTTGAAGCTCCGTTATGGTGCCTGTCTAAAATACCTGATGGTCCTAATAAAGAGGTGAATGGGCAATAGCAAGGCAAGAGCAAGTATACGAGGATCTGGCAGGCAAAGAATATGTATGTGATATATATATATACATATATGTGTGTGTGTATATATATATATATATATATATATCAGAACTGAGAATGAGGGGAGCAAAGAGCAAAGGAGAGACCAAGGAGAAAAGGATATCAGAGGCCAGCCACCCAGCACTCAGTCAGTCATGGGGAAAGAAGGAAAGAAAGGTATATAGAAATAGAGAAAAGTAAAAGCCAGAAGCGAAAGGTAGTCGGGATAATTTAAGAACAGCTGGCAAGAAACAAGCTAAAGTAAGGCCAGGCGTTCATAACTAAGAATAAGCCTCCATATGTGATTTGTTTGGGAGCTCGGTGGTGGGCCCCTCAGAAAGGCAAAAGAGCAAATAACAACACACGCAGTGAAGCTTGTAGTTACAAACCAACTAGAATTCTCCATGTGTGAAGATGTAAGGGTTATCTGAGTGTTGCTGCATTGTAGCAAGGAATTATTTGTTATCATAGTAGGGTAAAATTTTAGATGATCAAATGCACTGACTAGACATCATGAAGAAAAAAAGATTCACAACTAAGTATTAATCTAGAAGACAGATTTAAACTATGAATAATTTAAAGTTTCTAATTATCAAATGACTACTTCTTGACATGATGCTTCCCAATTATTTTATAATTACTCAATACTTAAGCCTATGATATTAAAAAAAGAAAAAAAGTTAGGAATCTGATCCATTTAATCAAATCATGCATAAAAATGCATTTACACTGTAATGGCTAATGTTTATAGACTTAGTTATTTTTTTGTCAAGAGGCTTGCACATGTAATCATGGCCTCTACCACTGAGCTATACTCCCAGCCTCAATTTAATTTTAAATATTATTTCCTTCATTCGAGAACTTGTCATTTTTTTATTTTAACCTATACTGGTTTAATTCACGTGGCTGCAAGTGCTAAATAATTAGAGACTCTTACTCTTATTAGACAGATATTCTTGTTACAAACAACTGAAATGGGTATGAACCAGAGTCAATGCCATAATTTTTGCTTTAATCGCTCTTCAGTCCTCCCCTTAAAAATGGGCCTTAAAAATTTAGTCAACATCAGTTCATTAATCAACGATAGTTATGCAATTTGGTCAGGCCTGCTAAAACATTCAGATCATCGGCTTTAAGCATCTGAGCATTTTTAACGATGTAAAAATATGGAACTATATAGACTCATATTCTCCATGTGGATATTTTATGAGAAGTTCAGAAGTAAGAGAAGAAAGACGTATTAGGTCTTAAAAGACATTACTATAAATATTAATTTGCGATTAAAACAGGAGGAGAAGTGTTTTCTTCCTTGCTTGTTAACTACGGTTTTCAGGTAAGGATAACTGACTGTGAAGGAGAAAGCACAGAACACAGAAATCATCCTCAAATGACCAAGTGTCGAATTACATTCTGAGGAAGAAAAATGAATCAGAAATTAAAAAGAGCTATTTCTAAAAAACTGATTCTTGCTCTATAGCCTACCTTGGCCTCAAATACTTGGGCCCAAGCAATTCTCCTCTGCCTTTAGCCTCAAGTAATTGTAATTACAGATGTGTCTGCCAAACCTGGTTCTAAAGAGGATATTAGTATATATTTAAAATTGTGGTTAAGCTGAAAGTACTTATTTATTCAAGAATAATATTTCCCCTTTAAATTTTTTTCTATTTTTTATTTTTTTAAATTTATTTATTTATTTATTAAAAATTTCCACCTCTTCCCCGCCTCCCTTTTCCCTCCCCTCCTCACCTCCCCCTCCCTCTCTAGTCTT